AAAAGCCCAAGATTTGAACCAGCGCGTGCGTGGGCTCCTTCACCTGCTAGAAATGCCAGACCATTCCCGTGTGGGCCCATGCAGGAGGTATTTTCCTGGCCCCTGAGCATGTGGGAAATGCTTCTTCAGAGGAGACACATACCTGGAGCCACAGGGAATTAATTAAAGAGGCGTGGGTGTGCACAAATGTTATCAGGTCGTGGGTGAAAACCTAGGAAGACATAATTTTGTGGGCTCCTTCACCTGCTAGAAATGCCAGACCATTCCCGTGTGGGCCCATGCAGGAGGTATTTTCCTGGCCCCTGAGCATGTGGGAAATGCTTCTTCAGAGGAGACACATACCTGGAGCCACAGGGAATTAATTAAAGAGGCGTGGGTGTGCACAAATGTTATCAGGTCGTGGGTGAAAACCTAGGAAGACATAATTTTTCAGGAGGTCTCTTTAGCCATCCCAGAACTGCCCGCAAATAATGCATGGGATAAATACCATTTATTTCACTGCAGTTTTGTGGTATCTGACTTCTGGCCTGTCCTCTCCCTCTGCTTGGTTTGTGCTTGATTGCAATACAACTTCCAGTGAACTTTGAATAGCTGTGTTGGGTTTCTATGCAGCGCTGTCTTGTCTGTCTGTGTGACTTGGTGGCTGGGTTGTGACTGCATCTGAACAAATGTGCTATAAGGTGCAAGAACCGCAGTTCTTTCCTCCTGGCAGCCGCCCCGTGCGGTTATGCGCTGGGTTAAGTCTGAAGCAGGGTCTTCTAAGACTTGGGGACACCAAGGTTCAACTGGGGGTCAAGCCAGGTTGCTCAAAGGAAGGAAGAACACCAGGGTTGCTCCGGATCTCCTAGTAGAAATCGGGGTGATTTACAGTAAATCAATAAGGATTTTTTAGTCCAGCTCAGCCAGAAAATGGCACACCGGGGGCCTAAATCCTTTTGGTTATGCCTGCCGGTGTAACACCGGGGGGGTGTAAACCTCAGCTGCAAACTGCCACAGATTACAACCTCAATGTAGGGTATTTGGCAGCGAATGCCAGCACATGTGATGGCAATCGCTTATGCTGATTTCTTAACTTGCAGCAATTCGCCAAACAGATTTGCACCACTTGCTTGACTTTGGCTTAAAAGTATCGTAATATTTTGGCCACCGTCTTTATCCTGCAGAAATTGAGTGAGTTGGAATTTTGTGTGGAAAGAGGGGGTTCTACTCAGTTCTGGTACACAAAAAGAAATTGCTAGCTGGGGATGTCTTTAATTCCAAAGCCCTACCTGGGTTTTAAGAATAAATTTACACTCAGTTTATTCTTAAAACCCAGGTAGGGCTTTGGAATTAAAGACATCCCCAGCTAGCAATTTCTAACAGATAAGGAAGGGATACCAGCCTTTTTTTCTGTTCTCCTAAAGAGTTCATATACTGGTGTGGAAATCCCCCAGAGAGGGGATGTCTTTAATTCCACTGCCCTACCTGGGTTTTAAGAATAAATTGGGTGTAAACAGATAAGGAAGGGGGGGTGCGTGGCATACCAGCCTTTTTTCTGTTCTCCTAAAGAATTCATATACTGGTGTGGAAATCCCCCAGAGGTTAAAGGAAGTTGTCCTTTAGGAGAATGGCCTCTGTGTTTGGAGAGTGGGGTTGATAAGAACAGAGCTTGTTTCCCTCCTCGTGTGTCTGAAGTGGACTTTTGAAAGTTGCCGTAGTAGTTTTGATGTTGTTTTTGAAACAGACAAACAAATGATATGTAACCAGACTTCAGTGGATGAATCTCAAGGTTCTCCGGGAGGAAAACAGAATATAGCTTTGAAAGCTGGAGGTTTGCCAACTCCTGACCTAAGCAGTTGGTTAAGGTGGGGGCCAGGCTCTGTCCTGCCACCAGGCCAAGGAGAGGCCAGGAGAGACACCCCCCACAAGGCCACCCCAGGAGTCGAACCCAGATCCCTCTAAGATGATCCAGATTGAAGCTCATGTTTGAACAAGGGTGGTCCAGCTTGGCTTTCAGTTGGCTGCAGTTTGGGGTTTCGTCAAGTAGAAAATGCAGCGATTGTCGTTTGTTGTGCTTCCTGCCGCAGACTTTATAAAGCAATGCTGAAGGATGAGGGGAAAACCTTTCACATCATGCAATGTTTACCACAGTGGTGATTTGCAAATGGCCACCATTTTAGGTTTCCCCTTTGTCTGCTGATATTCCCCAACCAGAATGGCTGCTTCTTTGCACTCGTCCCATGAGGGAACATTCGCTTCCCTTTTTCCAGTGCCTACTTGGCAGGCCAGGCCATTTCATGCAACATCACTCCCTCACAAGAAGTGACACAACAAGAGGAACAGTCTGGCCCTATTATACAAGCTGAGTCCCCCCCCCCCTTTGAGGATGATCTTTCTGACATCTCCTTTGGGAACCTAGCCTATAAAAGAACTTAAATAAGAAATGGAGTCTCTTTCAAGTCGCTATGGGGTGGTGGCTGGGGGAGAGCAAAGAAGGACTGCCCCTGCCATGAGGAGAGGTTGAGGCAATTACCTCAGGCGGCAGCGACTGGAGGGGCGGCAGCAACCAGAGCGGTCCCAGGGCTGTTCCTCCTGACCCACCTGAAGACCTCCAGAGCTGGAGGGTCAGCAAAGCCTATTTTGGGCCCCTGAAATTACCTCAGTGCCTCACATGTAGGGTGGAGGACACGATCCTCCCACCCCGTCATTGCAGGAGGATGAAAATGTGGTTCCAGTAAACAGAGTCGTGATCCTTTATCTGTTTGCCTCGGGCAGCCAAAAACTCGGTTTCCCTGATGGCACAATTGGAGATGGATCATATCCTCCTCCTCTTCCTCCCCATTTTTGGAAGAAATGGCAGGAAAGGTGTGCAAGACCTTTGGTCTGAGGGCCTAGCTGAAATAGTCTCACCGTTCAGAGAAGGGGGGGAAGCTCCGATTTGAAACTGTAGACCGCCAGGAACTGCCTGGACAGTTCTCCCTTTTTACTTTTGCTAAAAGCAATAGCAAGGAGAGAGCTGGTGGCTTTGGAAAGTTACCTTAGCCACCCTTTAAGCATGTATGATCAAAAGGATTGACCGCCAAAACGCTCTGGTAGAATTCCCCTCTGCTCCTTTGCACCAGCTGAGGATAAATCAAGGTGCACGGAATGAAAGTTACCTCCTTTGAAGCCTTTCCTTACAGAGGGAATACAGTGGTGCCTCGCATAGCGAGGTTAATCCGTTCCAGATTAACCCTCGCTATGTGAAAACATCGCTGAACGGAACGGGGAAAGCCATTAGAACACATTAAACTTAGTTTAATGCGTTCCAATAGGCTCCAAAACTCACTGTTCAGCGAAGTTTTCCTATGGCCGGCAGCCATTTTCGCACCCTCAGTAAGCGAGGGGAGCGCGCAAAAACGCTGCGCGCGGCCATTTCGGGGCTTCCGGCGGCCCTTTTGGAGCCGCCGAACAGCTGATCCGCGGCTTCGTTTTGCGAAGATTGGTAAGCGAAACGCTTACTGATCATCGCAAAGCGATTTTCGGCCATAGGGGCCATCGGTATGCGATCGCATTTGCGATCGCTAAAACCTCCTCGCTATGCGGATTCGTCGTTCTACGGTGTGCTCGTTAAGCAAGGCACCACTGTACTAACAAACCAGTCCCTTTTTTTCCCCTTGTCTGAGAGCTTTTGAAACAAGGACACCCTGTGTGCAAATAGACTGGTGTTCACACATCTTCCGAAAGCAGTCCATAAAAGTCTTTTTTCTGGTTGTGTGGGTCAGTGTGTTCGGCTGAGATTCGACGTATCCAGGTTCAGACCTCCAGTGAATCATGAGCACTGGGAGATCTTCAGATTTTTCTGAGGTTGGCCTACCTCATAGGATTGTTTTGACAATAAAGTGTGTGCTGTCTGTTTTAGCAGCAATGAAAATAAGACATAAAGAAAACTTTCCACCCTTTATACCACGAAAAAACTTGCTTCAGGGTCAGCAACACCAGTGTCTTAGGAACAACTTGATTTCTGTAACTGAAGAAGTAAATCAAAATATTCCAATTGCATTAGATGCTCATATTCATCACGGCCATCTCTAGTTTCAAATACTGAAAAGCCTTTATAGAAATCATTTTGACAGCTGCAGGGAGATTAATGTTAGTATATTTTCCTTGCTGGCCTTTTTCCCCCCTTGCAGTTGTTTGTAAACCATTGTATCACATGCATTAAGACAAGCTGTCTTCCAATGTGTTATTTATTTAAAATATTTGTACCCTACCTTTCTTCTCAAAAGAGCCCAAAGGAATGTTATTGCTGAATTTATTTATTTGACTTCTCTACCGCCCATCTGGCTGCCATGCCTACTCTGGGCAGTTTACATATTAAACAAACATGTCATTCGGGAACAATTCAAAACAATAAACATAATAGTTATAAAATGAAAATTAAACACAAACACGCCGACAAAATTTAACTGATAATAATCAAAATGGTATTAAGAGGAAGGGGGGGCAGGACTGATCATACAAACGTTAAGACCAGCACTGTCTTAGGAAGTTATGAGGTCTTGGAAAGCCTGTTGAAAAACAAACAAACATGTTTTTAGCAATTGCTTGAAAGTTCCCAGTGAAGGGGCCAGGTAGAGTTTCGGCAGGAGGTGGTTCCAAAGTTGGGGAGCGATCGTTGAAAAGGCCCGGTTTCCACTCCTGAATGTGAAGACATGTCTGTTTTCGGCAAGTGAGTTGCTTGGCAAACATACAGAAGTTAGGCTGTAATGATAGCACTAAAAAACATGACTCATGGGGGCTGCCTGAGACTTTCATCTTTTTGTTCAAAGCTTGACCTCTGTGGCCTAGGCAGTCAAAGGCTGAACTGAGTCGATCAGTTCCAAAGGAATTGGCAATACTGCCTAGACTCTAAGTCTCAGCCATTTGAATCCTCCAACCTCCCGAGTCTTAGATCAAAGTCTGGTAGGAAGGCACTGGGTTAGAAATGGCGGTGCAGGAAAATAAATATTGTCAACATTCTCACACCTGGCTGCGCTTTGCAGGATAGGAACCCCAATTCTAATCCTACTTATAGTTTTGGGTCCACTAAATTGCCTTTTTATTTCCTTCCTTCCTTCCTTCCTTCCTTCCTTCCTTCCTTCCTTCCTTCCTTCCTTCCTCAAGAAGAGCCTTATAAGAAAAATGATAATGATTATGAGTTATGATTATATAAGTTAGTTACAGCCTTATGTTGTAGGAAGTCATTATGTGACGCTTGACAAAGAACGATATTCTGAATTCTGGTGGAGCAACAGATATTTCATGTGAAGCTGGAACTGCGACTCATGGCCTAATTCAGAGGTCTTCTCTGGAGCTTAAACTGTGAAATAAATAATCAAATAGATCAATGTGTGTTTTAAGACCATTTGAGGATGCTCCTTGTTGAATAACCCCAATAAGCGGTCTTTCTAAAGATGAATCCTATATTCAGAGAAAGATGGAGGAGGAAAGGCAGTTCTTACCCTGATCTCCTAAGTTGAGAATAAAGACTCTTTGGCTCTCAAAATGTCTTTGGACCACAAATTCCACACACCTCTGTCATGGTCATTCCTGCTTGAGCTTCTGGGAGTTCAGCTGCAAAACATCCGGAAGGCCAGAGGTGGACCTGAACTTGCAAATAAGAAATGGAAGCAGATGTGGGAGGGTCTGTTAGTAAGTGTGTGTCCTGCTGCTGACGGTTTGTTTAAATTTCCAGACCCCTATGAAGAAGACACAGTCACTGATCGGTGAGTTAGGTGCCACGTTTGCCAACGCGGTAAGTAACCTAGCAAAGCCACTTGGTGTTTTCCCCCCCCCGGGGGGCTGTTGAATCGGAGGAAAAAAGTTTCCCCCTTTCTGTGCAAAGCCAGCTCCTTGTGGCAGAAGGAGTTGGGATCCAGCTGCCAGCCAGGGCTGAAATTCCTAGAACAGTGACGGAAGAGGGCACCTGAGTCACATCTGTCACTTCCTTAAAAATATATGAAAGAAAGGCCCGGAGGTAGTAAAAAGTTTTGTGTGATCAAGTTGCTCCTGCGACTAGAATGGGAAAATGCCCCGACTTGCTTGCGGGACCGTGCTAAGAACAGACAAGCAAATATGAACGTTATGTCTTTTACATGCTGTACTGAGGTATACACAAGCAAATATGAACGTTATGCCTTTTACATGCTGTTCCTCTGAAAGGTATGTCTTTTACATGCTGTACTGAGGTATACTGCTCCTAAACATAGAGGTTCCACTTAGGGAGCATGGTTAATAGCCCTTGTGAGAGCGGTCTTCCATGAATGTGTTTGGTCCATTTAAAAAACAAACAAACTCTTCTTTGTCATAACCGGTGACTTTTAATTTCCAGTGTTGAGTTATGGATTGGTGGGCACAGACCTAGGAATAAACCTTATTGACCAAGTTGGGCTTTACTCCTGAGTGGCATACAGAGAATGGCACTGACACCTTATGAGCTATAGTGAAAATATTCTTCCTTCTGAATTGGGCACTGGTTTATATCCTGTGACCTGTGCACTCTTTGCTTCTAGAAAGGGACCTCCTGAGGCTACCAGTTGCATGCTGGTACCTGAGAGATCGCCACACCGGATCCCACCGTTGGGAGTTCTGCCATCTAGAAACAGAGAACAGGACACTGGCCAAAGGAAACCCTCACTGTTTCTCTGGTTTTTTTTCTTTTGTAATTTTATAACCTTCCTCCTCATCTTTAACCCCTTAAACTGAGAAACCTCAAATATCTGAGCCCAGCTGTGGAACACTGAAACATGACAGACTACAGATGTTATTAAACTACAGCTCCCATCATCCCCAGCCATGCTCTGTGGTGGCTGGGGCCGATTGGGAGCCAGGCTCCTGACTCTCTCACCTGAAGAGCCACGGATTCCCACCTTGCCTCGTTGGAAACGTTCCCCAAATAGCTGCCGCAGGTCTCCTGCTATGTTTCATCCTGGGGGAGGGCAGAGGTTTGGGGCGACCCCCACAGGGAAGGAGGGTGAAGCGGGAGGTGGGGGTGGGTGGAAAGGAAGGAAGGAAGGACGGAAGGGCGAGCGTGAACGGCCCCCCGTCTGCCTCTCAGTTTGCAGTCACTCCGCTCTGCTGCCCGAGCCGGAGCAGCCTCCTCACCGGCTGTTACCCTCACAACCACCTGGTGCGCAACAACTCCTTGGAGGGCAACTGCAGCAGTCCCGTCTGGCAGAAGTTTCAGGAGCCCTTCACCTTCCCGGTGTATCTGCAGAAGAAAGGCTACCAGACCTTCTATGCCGGCAAATACCTCAACCAGGTAAAGAGAATGTAAAGCGATGCCCGTCCTTTCCAGATGTTCTGCAGAGGAGGAGTGGCAGAGCCCACCCCACGCCTTGCTTCTCGGGCAGGCTCTCCCCCCCCCCCGAGGGATGAGTACCCCCCTGAGTGGGTTGTCCCTTCCTGATTTGAATGCATTTTGGTGTGGCTTGTGTTCTTTTTTTTGGGGGGGGGGTGGTATTTGCTTGATCCTTTTTAGGATTTGTATTCTCACTGTTGTTCGCTTTAATGTTGTCTTCTAATCATCATCATCATCTGAGCTGGAAGATACCTTATGGATCGAGTCCAGCCCCTGCCAAGGAAGCACAGTGGGGGAATTGAACTTGCAACATCTGGCTCCACAGCCGGGTGCCTCCAACACAGAGTTATCCAGCAGACAGAAGCCACGTTGGGTCCTTTTAAGGAGAAGGGAGGGGTAAAAATGTGTTTAATGCATGCATGCACCAAGCCCTCGCTCATACACTAGTGCCTGATGCTTTTTGCAATCTCTCCTTTTCCAGTACGGGGATGCCAAAGCAGGGGGCGTTCTGCATGTCCCTCCCGGGTGGAACTACTGGATGGGCCTGGTGAGTAGACGCCGTTCTTTTTCTCGTCCTCCGTTCACAAAAGACCAGATGATCCAGTGAGATTCCCGGGGCAAGGCAGGAGAGCAGCTTTTGGCTTCCTGGCTAATTGGGGACTCCAAATCCCATCTGCCCCAGCTAGCATGACCAGTGGACAGTACAATGCAAATTGTACTCCCCAAAACATCTGGAAAGCAGGAGGTTACCCGCTCTGCTAGATAGTTTACATCGAGGTGGCTGTGATGTTGTGTTCCACCATGGATAACAAAAATTAAAACAGGAATGCTGTGACACCTTAAAGACTAATAAATTGATGTCAGTTTGAGCTTTCATAGATCACAGTCCATTTTCTCAGACCCGGAATTTGTAGCTTATTGAGTTTAGAGGCAAAATCCAGATTTAGTCTGTGTTTACAGCCCTGATGTTTCTCAGGTGGCCTTATGCTGAGAGTGAACACGCTGAGCCTACCTCACATGGTTCTTGGGATGGAAAGAAATGGAAGCCAAGCTAAGTTGCAATAGGGAGACCTTGAGATATGGTGAAAAACCATTAGAGGATAGGTATGGTAGTTGGAGGTTATTAAAAACAAGATGTTACTGGTTGTACGCTATTCAATTTTTGGTTTGTCTCTGCCAGCCCTTTGTCAGCTGTGGACCTGAGAAAGCTGATCAGATCTCACATTTGGGTTTGCACAGGGACCAGACAGATGCCCGGAAACCCACTCACCCACCCACTGCGCGTCTGTTTGGGCTCCCCAGTCACTGAGATACAGAGGCACTGTCTGAAAGAGTATATTCATCGTGGCTAGTGGCCATTCTGTTTCTCTGGACCCCCTCTCAAAGCCATTGGGCAAAATTCTGTTCACGCTGGTGGAATGTAAAGTTGCACTGGTGTAACAGTGATGAGCATCGTGCTCAACAGCAAGGAATTTTGCTCTGTTCTGTTGCACCATCGGCCGTGCCTCTCTGGCATGACGGTTGCGCAATGCCCTGGCATAAGTGCTTTGTGGACAGCGCTTCTGCCCCAGCACTACCGTGGGTGCAATCTTAAGGGGTGTGTGTGTGTGCGTGTGTGTGATGGGTGCAATCTTAAGGTGTAGGGGTGTGTGTGCGTGTGTGTGCGTGTGTGTGCGTGCATGTGTGTGTGTAGTCACACAGCCAGATTTGGAAATGACAGCCCCTTCCCCAGCCCCTGAGATGGAACCAGATGCGGCTCTCCAGATGTGGTTGAGCACCAGCTCCTCTTGGTCTAAGTGAACATCAGTCAGGGGGGAGGGAGTAGCAGCCCACCCCTTCCCCAGCCCCTGAGATGGGGAACCAGATGTGACTCTCCAGATGTGGTTGAGCACCAGCTTCTCTTATGTCTAAGTGAGCATCAGTCAGGGGGGAGGGAGTAGCAGCCCAGCAACCTCTGGAGAGCCGCCACTTAAGGCTGAAAAGAAACCACAGACGAAGGCCCGTCCAGTCCAGTGTTATTTTCCTGCAGCTGTTTTCTGGACCCTCAGGGAGAGGTCTTTTCTCCTCAGCTAGCTAGCTAGACTCCTGATTCCTAAAGACAAAAGAGTTAATCTCCCAGCCTTTAGCCTCCTCTTGTGACAGGTGTCGTAACAAAAGACTAAGGTTCACCTCAATTCGAACCTGGGGGAATGGCCCATGACAGGGTCTGTCTAGCATAATCTTCTCTCCTTCGGATGATGGCGGTCTCAGGAGCCGGGAGGGAGGAAGAGACCCCGATGCATGAGGCGGACACTGTTGTCACTGAGGCCAGGCTCCTTATGAGGTGGAGCGCTTCAGGATGCTTACAGACCGTCTGGGGCGGCTAATAAGCGTTGTGCTTTTCTCCTCAGGTGGGGAATTCAAAATATTATAACTACAGCCTTTCAGTCAACGGCCACGAGGAGAAACACGGGGACCTGTATGAAGAGGACTATCTCACAGACCTCATTGTGAGTTCTTCCATCTCGTCTTCCTTTCTGGCTTTGGGCCCCACCTCTCCTGGAACGCTGAAGCGGGACAGGTCTTTCCATCATCCACAGATAGATCTCACTTGGCTATTCCAGGTGTTGGGGAAGCAAGTGACACAAACGCTAAAGGGGACGACCCACCCTGACGACAAGGCCGGCTTTCCTCCTCCTTTACACACTGCGCTCTTGGCAGTTCCTCCCCAGCAGTTCTGATCTGCTCAGGCAGCAAAGATCCATTTATGAATCTACCTTGATTCAGTCACAACATGATCCTTCTCAAACTTGCACGGCCAGAACTAGTGCCTCTTGGAAACAATCCTGAGGTTTACAACAGTCCTCGGACACCTTTAAAACATCTGTGCGCCGATTCCTTCAGCGCCCCGTTTCCAATGTACCCCATGGGTCTGATTCTCCTTCACCCCAGTTTTGAAGTACATATCCTCTTTCTCACCCCCAAGGATTTCCCCATTTCACATTATGGGTTCAGCTACACTGGGGTGGGGAAAGTGTGGTTCCCAGCTCTGCGTGTAACCCATGAGGCGGTTCTGATGGCCACCGGCTCTTCCCTTAGCCCCCTCCTTTTCTGGCAGACCCCTCCAGGAGAGGTCATTGACCTTTGGAGCAGGTCACAGGGGCAGTCCCATTTCCCCCCTCCCACATCCTTGCATTTCAACAGATCTCCAAATGTCCATTTGTTCAAAACAGGAAGTGGCTGTCCAGCTACTTCTAGTTTTATTTCTCTGGCTTCTGGAACCGGGTTGTGCAATCTGTGTAGCCCTCAAGGGGAAAAGCAAAGGCTGATGGGAGCTGCCTTTTTATTTTTTGCACATAGTCCAAACGGATGTCTGGGGGAGAGGGAGCCCACCCGTGGGGCAGGAACGCAGTAGGAGCCCACCGGCCTCTGCTTCTTCCGGGGAACAGAAGGTTTCCATCACAGCCCCGGGTTCCGCAGTTGTGAGCAAGGCTGGATCTTTGGGAGTTGAGCAATTCGGGGGCAAAGGAGACTCACCGGGGGGGTTGGGGAAGAGCATGACTCTGCATGTGGAGACGTTCTGCCTGTCATGCGACTGCCAGTGGCAATGGGGAAAAGTAGTGACAAGGCGTCTCACATGCTCACGTCTCACAGTCAAACCAAAATAGACTCTCCGTTCTTCTTCGATGCTCGTCAGAAAATTGGACATGTTGCGAGAAGATAAAACTCCCTGGAAAAGACAGTATTGCTAAGAAAAGTGGCAGGTGGCAGGAGAAGAGGAAGATCTACCCTGAGATGGGTTAAGCCAGTAAAGGAAGCCACGGCCTTTAGCTGGCAAGACCTGAGCAGGATGACAGGCCCTTCTGGAGGTCATTAATTCGTAGGGTCGCCGTAATAACTTGACAGTCGACAACAACAAGAACTCAGAAAACACCCCTGTCAGCACTAAATAATAAACTGGAAATGCAAAATCTTAAGTTTACTTGAATTGGAAGCATATCCCATCAGATTGAGCTTCTTGGAGACATTTTATGCCTGAGGCTGAGGATTCACATCCTTCCCTTGCGCAGATAGAGCATGGAGAAATTGAGTGGTCTGCCAGTCAGTCCTGACTTCAGCCGCTGGGAGGTGTGAAATCATCCTTCCATCACACAGGGAGGCAGGTCAGGAGGGCGATGTGGATAACAGATAGAGCATGGAGAAGTTGAGTGGTCTGCCAGTCAGTCCTTACTCCCAACACACTGGGAGGTGTTGATGTGATCCTTCCGTCACACGGGGAGGCAGGTCAGGAGGGCGATGTGGATACTCACTCACTGCCTAACGGTAGGACCGGCCCCACCCTCGAGATCAGAGGGGCCATACTTCAGAGAGAATCTGTGAGCTCCTAGGAGGACCTTTTTCACAGCAGTAACTTAATGAAACAAATCTCGCTCATTCTTTCTTGAAATACACTTTCTCCCTCCTGTGCTCTCCGTATAGATGCATATTTTTCTGCCGGAAGCTTTCTGCATCCCGTCCCGTGATCAACCTCTTTCTCTCTCTCTCTCTCCCCTGCCCCCCTTTCCCATTTTCCTGCTCCAGACCAACCGGCCCTGTCCCCTTTTCCCATTTTCCTGCTCCAGACCAACCGGAGCCTCATGTTCCTGCAGAAGCTCTCGCGCGCCCCATTTCTCATGGTTTTAGCACCGCCTGCGGCTCACTCTCCATGGATCGCGTCTCCTCTCTACCAGTCGGCCTACAGCACCGTCAAAGCGCCGCGCAACGGGAGTTTCAACGTCCATGGGAAAGTGAGTGCTGGCGATTCGTTCCCCTTATCCAGGCAGAAGACAAAAGTTGTGACAAGAACCCTGGCACCCTCCAGATGTGTTCTAGTCCAAACATCTGGAAAGACACCAAGGTTGGGAAGCCCACGTTCACAGTTTACATCTGTGATGTTACAGCTTTTAAAGCAATCTTTTGCAGGGGCTGTGTTTTCCTTTTGAGAAATTTCACAATACATTTCTTGAAAGGCAAGCCTGTAAGTCACAGCAGTGATGGAGAAATAATAGGAGAGAGGAGTCGGGCGTCTTGAGTTTCCCGGCCCCTTCACCCGGTAGTGGCTAGCAGGGTCTGTAGATCGGTCATCATCTTTCTTTTCTAGGACAAGCACTGGTTGATACGGCAAGCCAAGAATCCCATGTCCAACACATCCATTGAGTTCCTGGACAACGTTTACAGGCAACGGTAAGAAGCCCCCTCCCCTTCCCGCCCCCCCCACCGCAATTGACAAGGGTCTTGAATGAACTCCCAGCCCCGTAGGAAATGATGCTGACTGGAAGAAATTAGCAGTGTATAGGTCTTTTAGAAGCCAAACATTGAACCCCAGGGTTGGAAAGGGTGGTTTTGGGACCACAACCCCAGAATCCTCTAGCCAGCACTCACCAATTGTTTTAGTCCCGAAAAGTAATTTTTTTCCCATGCTCTCTTGAACTCCATCATGGTCCCCATCGGACGGGTCTTTGCAGCTTGGAGAGGTGTTACAGTAAAGCAAGGGTGAAGACCCCCACTGTGCGATGGGTCACTGGCCTTCGAGAGTTCCCCTCTTTGGAGGACATGCTTTTTCCTGGGTGCAGCCTTGGAAAAGCTGCTGGCCTAGGGCTTTACTCTCAAGGAGACACACATGGAATCGATGAACCTTTAATGCTTGGTGGGGAAAAGTCCCTAAACCTGATCCGGACGAGCAACGTGGAGCTGCTATGAGTTTGCCACCCAAGGTGGGGGAGTGCGTGAATTCTCCTCTGGTCCCTTGGCCAGGCTCCCGGCATGCCCCTCTCTCTGCTTCCAGGTGGCGAACTCTTTTGTCTGTGGATGACATGGTGGAGAGAGTCTTGCGCCAGCTGAAGTCCCTCGACCTGCTGGGCAGCACATACGTGTTCTACACGTCAGATCATGGTTACCACACAGGTAAGCTGAGGCTTGCTATGGGTAAGACACCCTTCAGGGCGGAGGGGGCCCCTTGGGGACTTGAGAGGGGGTCAGAATATCTCCTGCATCACCTTCAGAAGGCAGTTTATCCAAAACAAATGTGGGAGATTATTGTGGAGTGATGAGAGATCATGATCTACTCAGGTTTCTGAGCGACTCACAATAGATCAGTTGGGATTTATTGATGCCAGGTTGTTTCCTCATCAGTAGATCAGTGAGGATTTATTGATGCCAGGTTGTTTCCTCATTGTAAGAACCCCTGCGCCTCCCCCCATAATAATGTAATAATTGCATGCCATCAAGGCAGTTCTGATTTACGGCAATCCTTTTCTAGCTGAAGAATCCACTCTCATGTATATTGCCACTCCCTTCCACTGGGGGCGCTGTGGGACTGTGCAGCTGGCCCAAGGCCACCTAGGCTGGCTCTTCTCCCAGGAGGCACAAGTGGGGAATCAAACTCCCAACCTCTGGCTCTGCAGCCGGACGCCTAACTCTCTGAACTATCCAGCCAGCTCCATTAGGTAAACTGTTGAAATAAAGAAAAGCAATAACAGCACCTTTCCCCTCCCTTCTTTCCGTAGGTCAATTCTCGCTGCCCATTGACAAGAGGCAGCTTTACGAATTTGACATCCGGGTGCCCCTTCTTGTGCGAGGCCCAGGCATCAAACCGAACCAGACTTACTTGGTAGGTGCATCCCTTTCCTCTTCCCTCCCCCCCCCCACTTATGGTTGAGGATCTCAGGAGAAGGAGTTATAGTTTGATGGGCGCCTGGTTCTGTGTGTGAAAGTACAAGATTCTATCCTTAGCATTTTCAGGTAGAGAAATGTCTGAAATCCTGGAAAGATGCTCCTAGCTGGCATAAGTGATTGAGATGGAGGGGGAGCTAACGATAGGGACTGCTGTGCTATCTTTCTGCAGTTGTGGAGGCTCATAGTTTGGTGGCAGAACTCACACAGGAAGCCCTGCTTGACTATCTTGAATAGAAAAGGGTTCTGAGTTCAAAATCTGGCATCTCCAGATAAAGCTGTGCCAGTCTCAGGAGCATGGAAGTCCCGGCCCAAAAAGTAACTTTTCCAAGTTCAGGGTAATGCTAGGGGAGATCCTGTGGGATGCCTGGAAAGCCATCTGTCGGTGTACTGAGCTAGGGAGACCAAAATAGGTTCTCACATGTGAATCATGGTTTTGTCCAGAAGTCATCTTTGAGTGGTTACTTCTAAATGTTGGTTTCTAGGAAGGTTATTGCAGATGCAGCTCTGGCCTCTGCCATCCTAGATGTTTTGTTTGCAAAGCTAGGCCAGATTTTTTTTGAGCCCAATTTTGGTGTTGTGCTCAGTGAGATCACCAAATGCAGAAAAGCAGCAGGTCAGGGAGAAAGCTGTGGCAGAAGCTGTTTCCCTGATACGGCAGTGCTGTCTGTACAAAAATATCTTGAAGTTTCATTATTGAACCAGCTTCTGTACTGTTTACCGTATCTCACAGTGTGTCCAAGCAGTGAGGTAGGAAGCTTTCCATTATCTCATTAGGCAGCCATAGCATCAATCGGAAGAATCTGGATTGCTTCTGCTAACTTCTCCCTGTGTTGTCTCTCCCTCTCTAGGAACCCATTCTCAACATTGATCTGGGACCAACTTTCCTGGACATTGCAGGAATCAATGTCTCACTTACCCCCATGGATGGGCAGTCCTTCTTGCCCCTGTTGGTAATAACCTGGCCATAATCATATTGGAATGAGGTTGGAGGCAGGGAATTTAATAAATAAGTGTATTCCTTGAATTCTCTAGACCCATAAGAAAAAGAAGTAGAGGCAGTATCTTAGCCCAGGAAGTGTCTTAAATCATGTTCCCTTTGGTTTCAGGAGAACAGGACTCGTGTGAATGGGTGGCGATCAGATTTCCTGGTGCAATATACTGGGGAAGGCTGCAGTGGTAAAGACCCCCACTGTCCATCATTGGGACCTGGTGTGTCGGTAAGTGCTGATGATCAGGAACCTCAGCTTGAGCTTTTAATAAATACAGTGATGCCTTGCAAGACGAAAGTAATTCGTTCCGCGAGTCATTTCGTATTGCAAAAATTTCATCTTGCAAAGCGCGGTTTCCAATAGGAATGCATTGAAATGTAATTAATGCATTCCTATTCGTCTTGCGAAGCCCAGCCATAGAAAAATTTGTCACCAAAAAAATTGCAAAACTCTTTCATCTTGCAAGTTTTTCGTTGCGCGAGGCATTTGTTTTGCGAGGCATCACTGTATCCAGATTCTGCAAAAGCAGGAAATCTGGATTCTGCTGTCTACAAATGACCCAAAGTACATCCTCTTGACACAGACACAAAAATGCACACAAACCAGGATCATTTTTCAGAGCTATCGTATAGTTAAAGAAATGTTAATTTGATCAATCATGTGTTCTTGGGATGTTTCTCCTTTGCTTTTATATTGGCATCATATAATACATTAGACCAGACAAACGTTTAAAATAGTAAGCTTTGGTCTAGAAATCAGTAATGTATGTACATGCCTCCATTATTTAAAATATTTTTGCCCCACCTTTCTCCTTAAAAAGGACCCGAGGCAGCTCACACCATTAAAAGACAATATTTAAAAGCTAAAAACAGTAAATATACAAATACTAAAAAGAAACAAACAAATACCATTCTAAGAAATGGTAAACAAAAGCAGTACTAAAACACAGTCAAAGCAGGAAGGCATAACAATCTATTTTAAAAAGCCCACTCAGGCAGCCGATCTCTGAGTGGAAATTCAAAGAGAACGGTTTTTGCCTGCTTGCGGAAGGACAGCAATCGCCCATCTCTGAGGGGAAACTTAGAATGGTTTTAGCCAGCTTGCGGAAGGACAGCAAAGATGGGGCCAGATGGGCCTCTTGTGGGAGGGAAGAGAGTAAGATGATTTCGGTAATGTATACAGATAGGTATTTTTTTCCTGCTTTAGTATTCCAAAAAGTGACAGAAATTCCTTGTTTCTCTTTAAATCGGGTTTCAAATGTGAAATTCCCATTAGTAAGTCAGTTTCAGTGTCATTGAATAGGGTTGTTTTGGTCAAATTCTGGTAAACCAGTGAGATAGAAGTGAAAGTTTTCTCCCCCAGTACAAGGGATGAATCATCTGTGTTTAATTGTGCAAAATCGACACTCATATGACAGCAGGGGAGAAAAATGAGAGGGGGGGACAACCTCCTCTTTTTAGAGGTGGTAATGGGGGGGAGAGAATATGGAAGAGAAGAGGAAGGAGGGTGAGATTCAAATGTCAAAGGGGGGAGGAAACAGCCTTGTTTGGGTTTTGAACAGAGGCTGCTTTGTGCTACAGAAGCTTGCCCCCGGCCACGCTCTTCCACAGGCAGCAACGGAGCGCTGACAGGCAGGATGGAGAAGTGGTGGCCTCGCTTTTCCTGTCAGACTGGGCTCTCTGGCCCTTTTGGGAAGCGCTGGGCCGAACATTTGCCTATGCAAAGGAGGCTCGTTCCCGCAACCCTTCTCGTCATTTTCATAAAGGTCCTTTCATCATCATCCTCCAGTGGAGTTCGGGGGAAATGAGACTCTGTACCAGGAGCCGCCTCTCTCGCACTCGGCCTGCATGGATCTAAACACGCCCCCCCCACACACCTGTGTAGGGTCTGTGCTCAGGGTTGCAAGAGTGCACTAGAATAATCCTCTCCCCCCCCTGCGTAAGTAAATGGAAAGGAAGGATGATGTGAGATGCTCCCTCTTTTTTTCTTTCCATCAAGCCCACTTTCAGCTATTCAGTGAGGGTGTTTTGAAGTTGATGTTTTGGATGTATTTTGAAGTTATTTTATGAGGTGGAAAGTCCAGTAAAACATGGCAGTGTGGAGTGCTCCCGTTCAGGGTTTCTGGCTAGACACTTAATAATGCCTTTTCTAAGACACTCCATTCCATACCTGTGTCTTTCCCCATTTCCTAGACCAGTGGTTCTCAAACTGGGGTCCCCAGATGTTCTTGGACTACAACTCCCAGAAATCCTGGCCAGCACATGTAGGAATGAAGGCTTTTGGGAGTTTTAGTCCAAGAACATCTGAGGACCCAAAGTTGGGAACCACAGTTCTAGTCACATCTTCATAGCCATGGATTATGCTCAGTCCTTTCTGGGCTGTTCGGAAGGTGGGGTAATGGCCACACAGGGAAAAATGCAGGAAATACTATGGGTTTGGGATGGTTTGATTTGCATTTTTTTCTCATTGACCAAATGATGCAACTATTAAATGTGAACCAGGCAGGAATCCAAAAGCCCCAATCCATGGTTTTTCCTCCCCACCAGAGACCCTTCAACTTTAAAAACAAAAACAAATACTTTTGCTTTGATCTGTTTGAACCTGTGCAAAAAGGAAAAGCTGATCAAATGTGCATTCACACAAGCAGTGCCAGCACTCATTTCTCTCTGCAAAGCCTCTCTCCTGAGACACTCTTTTATAATTTTTTAACAGCTTCTCCTCGGGCGTAGTTCATTTTAAATTTTTAAAACCACTTTATTACACTTTAACAAGATCTATGGTGAATAGGATAAGATGAGGAAATGAATACATTGAGGAAGGAAAGCCACCTTAAGGCAGTTCCTTCAAACTGTGCCACCTGCAGGCACTTTGCTAGAACTGCAGCAAGAAGGCTTTTGCTCCTCTGCCTTGTGGCTTCTTAAATGGAAGAGAACAATCTCCTGGTGCAAATTCATAGCAAGAAAATACAAGTTAATTAATATTTCCCTCAGTGTGTAGTCATACCCTGAGTTCACCATTTGCACAAGCAATGAGTGTAAAAATCTGTCTCTTCTCTCCACCTCTCAAACTTTTGACAGCAATGCTTTCCAGACTGTGTGTGTGAAGATGCCTTTAACAATACATATGCTTGTGTGCGCACCCTGAGCCCCATCAACTTGCAGTATTGTGAATTTGCTGATGCCCAGGTAAGAGCGGCCATTTTCTGCCATTGCCTTTCCCAGCAATGAGTTACATTCTCCAGTCCAAATCCTGCTGGGTTTGATTGCATATGGAAGGGCAACCACACAAGTCTTGCCTAACTAGCCATGCAACAGCTTGCCTTGGCCATGGAAATTCACTGTGGGAGGGGGGTGGCAGTGGCAAAATGCTCCTTGAGCATCTCACTAAAACCTCATAGGGACTCATTTGTCAAAAGCAACCTGATGGATCCTATCAACAAAGCCGTGTTACAGATCTGGGTGTCTGGGTGCTTTGTTTTAATTTACACCCAAGTGTTCTTGGACTGCAACTCCCCGAAATCCTGGCTGCCACAGCTGGTGGTGAAAGCTTCTGGGAGTCATTGTCCAAGAACATCTGGAGACCCATGGTTGGGTCTGCATGTGGCCAGACAAGAGTCTGCAGGTTCTGTAAGGCATCCTTTGCAATGGTTGGATCAGATCACCATGAAGGAGCTGGGTTGGGTTTCAGCTCTTGAGGTCTGGAAGCTGAGAAAGTTTTCCCCCTTGCCAGCAATGGCCACATCGGCTGGAGAATTCTGGGAAACATAGTCCCGAATAGGAACTTTCTGAAATGTTCCTCCTGTCTATTCCCTACCTCTTTCTCCTACTCTACCACTTTTCCCCCCTTTTGCAGGATTTTGTGGAAGTGTATAATCTGACTTCCGACCCGCACCAGCTCATCAATGTGGCCAAGACGGTGGATCCTTCGTTGTTGGAGCAGATGAACCAGAGGTTGATCAAGTTCCAAGCCTGTGCGGGGCCCAGCTGCCGCTCGTAAAGACCCCGGGATCTCTTCCAATTGGGCTGGAGCACAGAAGACCAGGAGGTTCCGTTGGATCTTTTCCCATCACCACGTGGATTCCTCCAGCTTTAATCCAGCGCTGGTCTTCAGTTCTACGCCCCGTGGCTTTTAAAGCTATGCTCAGCAGCTAGCTTTGAAGGACGCTTCCTGTGTCAAAAAGAGTGGGACATTCTGCTCCCTGTCCCTATCAGACTGACCGGATTTCAAATTCCTCCAGTTTTGCTCTCGTCCATGCCTCTCGTTTGCCATTGGACGTGTCAGTTAGCAAGGTGGGACAGATCTACCTGATGTCCTCCATTCACTTTAATGGCTGGGTGGAATGCATTCAGTCACTAACTGGAGCAGGATTATTACTCTTTCCAACACCGTCATGTCCTCCTCTCGTAGCCAGTACAGAATTGATTTATCTTTTACCACTATCCTCAGCACTTCCTTTTGGTTCATGATGGACTCTGGAGACTCAGCACATCCATTCTATTCTTGTTCTGTCTTGAACTTCTGTGCGCTTAAGAAGTCTTCAACTAGGTCCTCTCCCTCTATTCCACAGTGGCTCTGGCAGCTGCTGGGATGTCTGCCCTGTGCCCCTCCACTTTAATGCTGTGAAAATAAATGGAATAAAGGACTGGTTTATTAGGAAAGGTGACCTCACCTTTTTTTGTGTGTTTACTGTGCTTGCTTTTGCTCTATATAGAGAAAGATGCCTGCCAAGAGAGCCCAGATCACAGCTCTGCACTTACTGACAAAGGGGTGCTGCTTCTGTCTTGTTGGGCTAATAGGTAAGGTCTCCCAAGGTCGAGTTCCAAAACTGACTGAATTCTGGGAAGAAAATAAGCTAGCAAACAGCATTTGGGGAATCTGCCATTTTTCACTTGGGCTGAAGGGCCGTCTTCATCCTCTTAGGCAGTTGTCAGTGTCCTTCGAAACTTCACACATATGACAGTGGTCTCTATCTTCCTCTCACACCTATCTGCGTGTGAGCAACGAGCATACGAAAGAAAGGGACGGAGTGAATCATAGAATCACTGAGTTGGAAGGGGCCTCAGAGGCCATTTAGTCCAACCCTCTGCTCAAGGGAAGAATGCAAATCAACGCAGTTCTGAAAGATGACAGCCCAATTTTCTCTTGAAGGCCTCCAGTGTTGGAGTGCTCACCACCTCCTAAAGTCATGGGTTCCCTTGTCGTACTGCTCTAACAGTTAGGAAGTTTTTTTTTTATATATTCAGCCTAAATCTGGCTTCTTTAACTTGAGCTCATTGTTGCCTGTCCTGCACTCTGGGATGATCAGGAAGAGATCCTTCCCCTCCTCTGTAGGACGGGCTTTCAGGCATCTGACAAGTGCTCTCATAGTTTCCCTCAGTCGTCTTTTCTGAAGGCGAAACGTTCCCAGTTCTTTCAGTCTTTCCTACTAGGCTTTGGTTTCCAGTCCCCTGAGCATCCTCCTTGCTTTCCCCTGAACTTGTTCCAGTTTCTTGGTATCCTCCTTAACGTGCAGTGGCCGGCACTGACCCAGAAAGAAAGGATAAAAGATGGATACGGTATGCATTGTTAATTGACCACCAGCAAAGATAGCAAAAGAAAACTGTAGAATTGGAAGCTTGAGGGATATGATCTCCAAGGGTTGGACCAAGCCAGATTTCGTTCATGGTGCAGTCTTCCCCATCAGTTTCCTCACACATTCCTTGCCTTTGGTGATTCAGAAGTGGTCGTAGTAGGCATTACATGTGCAATGGTGTGCATTAAATAAAGATTTTGTAAAAATAGATCAGGAGAGGTTTTAAATATTGGCTTCCTCAGAGCAAGTGGGTCCTAGATCACATCAAGTCTGAACTATCTCTGGAAGCAAAAATGTTGAAACTGAGGCTGTCTTATTTTGGGCACGTTGCAAGAAGACAAGATTTTCTGGAAAAGACAATAACGCTAGGAAAGGCGGAAGGCAGCAGGAAAAGAGGAAGACCAGATATGAGATGGACTGACTTTTCAAAGGAACCACAGGTTTGAGTTTGCAAGAGCTGAGCAGGGTTACTGAGGTCAGAACATTTTGGAGATGGCTCATTCATGGGGTCGACATAAGTCAAGAGGCACTTGAGAACCCGTAACAACAGCATAGTACAGAAAAGGGGGGTTTGAAGCTGAGGATTAGTGGCTCACCCAGTGCCAACTAGGACGTTCATAGCAGGTGTCTTATTGGAAGCAGGGACTTCCTGAATCACCTTCATAATTCTTATGGGTTGTAAGAAATTGGGGGAATATTAAAAGGACAATGTTGACAGCACAAGTAGCAGGCAGAGGCATCAAGTCTGTTTCGATGGGTTTCCTCCTTTTCCCACCTCCAAGTCCATGCTGTGCTAATTCTATGCAGATTTTTTCCCAAGTGGGAAGGAAATGTCAATTTGCAAATTTCACACCCCTTTCAACGGGTTGCATGAAGCGAGGTGTCAGGGAATGCCTGTTTCAAGTCACTCAAGCTTATTTGTATAATTTTTAGAAGTGTCTACATTTTGCACTTATATTATCAGGCATGTTGGTTCTTCAGGGTACATGGCTAGGCCAGAAGCATACAAATTTCTAAATGCAAATGGCACTCTTTTGTATCTTTAATCAAGCGAGTGTGGAATAGGTAAATCTGGGGAGAGAGAAGTGGAATGAATTTCTCACCCCTGGTGGGCACCTTCTTCTTTCTGATTCCATTCCCTTTCTCACTGTCCCTGTGCTTTTGCCTCTCTGTGAGTGTATCTTCATAAAGCTTATGCAAATCCAGGCCACAATGGACCTTTGTACCTTACCTGCTCCGTGATGCCAGGTCCTGACTTGGGTTACACTTGGGATGAAGCTGGGCAGAGCGAACTCACAGCTGCTCCAGGATGGTAAGTTTGCTGTCTTGCCGGGGTGTTGGGCGAGGGCTGCGTGTAAGGAAGCGGGGAACATAGTGACATAAGCCTGTGTGGAAGTGGGAAATCAGCTCCAGCGTGATCTGCCTGGTGTCCTTAGTTTGTGTAGCTTTCGTCCTGTGCATATTGTTCTTTTAATGGTGACATGCCCCCTCGGAACACATCTGGGCTTCTCGTTACACATGGACTGGATTGGGCCATGCTGTCTGTCTGTCTGTCTGTCTGTCTGTCTGTCTGTCTGTCTGCCTTCCATCCATCCATCCATCCATCCATCCATCCATCCATCCATCCATCCATCCATCCATCCATCCATCCATCCATCCATCCATCCATCCATCCATCCATCCATCCATCCATCCATCCTAAAACAGTGGTCCCCAACTTTTTAATGCCAGGGACCGGTTTTGTTGAAGACCATTCTTCCAAGGACCGGTGTCAGTGAAGGGGGGTGCGTGGGGGGCATCCGTGCGTGGGGGTACCACTACTAGGGGGATTTTTTAAAAACCTAAGATGACTTAGGTTAAAAAAGACCAGGAAAGGAGGGAGGAAGGAAACCATGGGGAAAAGATGAAAGAAAGAAGGTCATAACTGCGGCACACAGACCCCTCAGACAAACGTTTGTGCTTTTAAGCACAAAAAGAGAGAAGACAATGGGAGGGAGGGAGAGTTTGGGGTCTAAATAAAATGCATGCTCTCCTCTCCAAAGCACAATCACAATCTGAAGTCCTAGTTTCGAGAGGAAAGCAACATGTTGTTGCTGTTGTTTAGTCGTTAAGTCGTGTCCGACTCTTTGTGACTCCATGGACCACAGCACGCCAGGCAACATATATCAGAAATAAATAAATAAAACCATGGCCATTTTCTACCACTACGTTCAGAGACGCTGGTTCCTTCAAGGCAAGACTGCAGAGAGCACAGCTTTTCCGCCCGTTGGTTTCCACCAGACTTGGACGGTGTGACCCACGATCTGTTGCATGTCGCCTCGGTTTGGCAGTGAGGAGGCTTAGCGCCTGACTCTTTAATGGGCTAAATATATGTGTAAAAAAATGTAGGTTTTGCATGTTGCAAGTGAAGGCTGGGAAGGGAATCTGCAGCCAACCAGCACCACCACCGGTGGGGGGAAATAATGGGAACGGCCGTCCTGCAACATCAAACTTAAGGCTTGTGCATGCAAACCAAGTAGGAACTTAACAACTAAAAGACGGAGCTTTTGCCTTTCTGTGTAGGGGAAAGGCACCTTTTCCTCTTCCTGAAACCTTTTATACAGTGCAAAACTTTATAATGTTTTAACCTTACTGCCTTCGTGCCCCTCGACCTTATCTGTGCTTCCAAAGGTACTATAACCTGTCAGGGACTCAAGCGAGACAATCCACCCCCAGCTGGTTCTGGAAAGTCATAGGTCCTTATGGGACCATATCTCTGGTGCTTTCACGTGTTTTCATTTTAATGTGCAACATATTTATATTCCTGTTTTCAGGGGCTTAGCGGGGTTAAGTCTGTTTCCTTAGCAACAAACTTGAAGCAAAAGTATTGTAGCATCTTTAGGGCTATGTAATTATTCCAAGTGTGAATTTTCATGGATGATTTTCTTCCCCCTTAAAATATTCATGTACCTCCGATAAGTCCTTCTCGTCAGCAACCACTGTGTCTAATTTTGGGAGTTGATGTTTTGGTTCCAAACGGGCAAACACCATCCTATGTACAAATCTGGTATTCTAGGAAATGGCGGTTGGAAAAGGGAAATCCCACATTTAAACGCCGTAGAGGTGGATTTAGGCTTCAGTTTGACTTCAGTTTGTTTATTCTCTTTGCAGAACATATTTGGGAAGAACAAAAGCCTGTGAGTAGCTGCTTCTACTTGATTTTTGGGGTTTATACTCGAACATTAGCAGGGAAGGGGGCTTTAAGTAAAGTCCATGGACTTGTCCAGAAACGCTCACGTTAAAAATATATATATAAAAATTAGTCTTTTAAAACATTTAATCTTTTTAAAAAAAGTTTGAACACATGTTTTTGTGTTTTACTTCACTTTTTATTTCTGTTTTGCTTTTATCTATATAAAGAGAATCTGGTAAGGAAAGCTGGGTGAAATAGCTAAACTGGGCAGGTGAATTGATACAGTATATATAAGTTAGTCTTTTAAAACATTTAATCTTTTTTTAAAAAAAGTTTGAACACATGTTTTTGTGTTTTACTTCACTTTTTATTTCTGTTTTGCTTTTATCTATATAAAGAGAATCTGGTAAGGAAAGCTGGGTGAAATAGCTAAACTGGGCAGGTGAATTGCGAGCTGCCAGAGCACTCTGTAGGGAAACACCCATGGAAAACCCATAAATGCCTGCAAAGTGGAGAGGTTAATTCCACAGTAAAATTGCATACTGCTGCGTCTCATCTCACGGAGCCTCAGAATCAATTCCTCCTCTTCTTCTTCTTTCTTTGCTTCGTCAAAGGTCCCAAGGCCCCCCGGTCCCTCCAAAGCGCCCAGGTAAGCAGAGGGTCACTATTCTGCCAGAACCTTTATGACGGTTTTTTGCTTTTCACAAACGAGACCGTGGCATCAGTCACTGGCCTCCACCCATCTCTGGGAGACTCCTCTTGGTCAGGAGGTGGGGTGTGTGGGCTGTGGTACCTTCAAGGTGCTGTGAAGGTACCATTCTCACGCTGCCCCACATTCTAAATCCCCAGGTCTCTTGAGGTCACTTGGTAAGACAAGCTTGGTTGATGGGTGCTCTTGAATAGCTAAATTCAGCTCACAGAAAGCTTTCCTTTCTGTTTCAGAGAAACAGCAGCAGGCGGTAAGTCGTCTCCACTCCCATCCAATCCCCAGCGTTCCTGCTTTGTGCCATTCCCGTTTCCTTAACCCCTTATATGCTCCTTCACATATTTCCCCCATAATGCTACTATAGTGCACCTTCTGCTCTTTCATGACCGGCTACTAACCCTGGCCCAACTTTATCCCAACATTAAAATGAAGCCCTGGCTTTTCTCTTTGCCACCTGCTTCAGGAGCAGGCCTTCCTGTTGCTTTACCAAAGCTCTGATCAAATTCAGGATTTCGCTGTCAGTTTCTCTAGGAAGCTCCTGTCTCTATCTCGGTGCTGCCTACAGAAATCAGTCCAGCGTCTCAGAACTAGACAGTAAATCTATGACATGTCATCACTGCTGTTTTTGTGAGCTTACCAAACAAAACTAACTGGATAAAAGTATTAAAGAGCAATTCAAAATGTATTAAAATGCATTCGCACTAAAACTATATTTATGAGGCAGCATCCATGTGCAATGTGCTGGCTGTGTAAGTTAGTGGTTGAGGTCTCTAGCTGCAAAGCCAGAGGTTGGTATCCATGTGCAATGTGCTGGCTGCAAAGCCACAGGTTGGGAGTTCGATTCCCCACTGAGCCTCCAGGGAGAAGAGCCAGCCTGGGTGGCCTTGGGCCAGCTGCACAGTCCTGTGACGCACCCTGAACCACCTCTGAGTACTGTCTACCTAGTAAACAATACTGTCCTGTGATGCACCCTGAACCACTTCTGAGTACTGTCTACCTAGTAAACAATACTCAGAAGTGGACAAACTATCCAAGTAATGTTAGACGGCTTGGACAGGAGGAGGGCAGGAGGCTCCGCCCCACCTAGAAAAATCAGGTGTTGAATCTGGACCCTTTTGCCAATAAATCGGGTTCTTTGCTGCTGAGTTTCAACCCTTCCCCAACTATAAGCGGTAGAGAAAGATGTTGCCAACCAAGTCACACCATCTAGCTTTCTTTAGCTTGGTGTTGGACTACAAATCCCATCCTTCCCTCCTGGCACAGCCCTTGGCAATAGCTTGTGGAAAGCTGACTTCCATTGTTCAGCAGAGACTTCCCAAGGCTCCAGAGAGGGGAATTTCCCAGCCCTTACTTGGAAATGCTAGGGATCAAACCGGCATGTTTCTGCCTGCAAAGCAGGTGATTTACCAGTGAGTTGCAGCCTTTTCCGAGAGGTTCTCTGCCACCGCATTTGCATTGGAGACCATCAGAACATCACCTGGTTTCCTCCTGCCATTGCTTTAGTCACAGAAGAGCGGTCCTGGAGAGGAAGAAGAGGATGAAGAGTACACCTATGAAGTCCCACCAAGTGAAACACAGAACAAAAAAATTGCTGCAACCAACCAGCAGGAGGCAGTAGAGGCCATCTATATTGGTAAGGTGACAGAAGTGCTGGGTACTCGTTTAATGTGGGTTTTCCAACCACCACATAAAAAGGTTTAGGGTTTCCCCTGCCTGCTGCTGCTAAATGAGCTTTTTCAAAGTTGAAAAATGTTAATTTCCCTGTGAATCTCTGTTAAACAGGGTTGATAAGGTAACCTTGGGATCTCCTGCAATCTGTACATTATAGAGAACTCATCGTTCAGACGCCGAAATCATTAAGTGTTGGAAGACATCTGATTCTCAGAGCATCAGTGTTACATGTTTCACACATCCCTTCGTTTCCAAACTGGCTTGCTTTATTTTGGGAGTGATCAAGGCAGGCTAAACATGGGCCCGGGTTCTGCAATTGCGGGTCTGGAACATTAACATGATTCCAGCTTCTAATGACCTTCTAGCTGAAATCCTAGTGACTGGAGTAGTCACAACTAGAATTGGCCCGTTGTATCAGCGGGGATTTGGAAGAATCAAGAAAAGGCTGCGTGGTCATAGAAACAATACAATGCAGGAGCAGGTGATATTTTTAATCGAACATTAAGAATACAAAACAAAAAACAAACAGCATGCTTTCAATGATACGTCGTCATCTTTAAGGCTGTGCATCATGCTCTTGTAGATAGTTCCAAACTTATCTGCCCCTGCGTCCTAGTGATTCAGTGGGCTTACTCTAACGACAGCCTACTAGTCTAAGCAACGGTATTTCAACCACTGCTTGTAATGTCTAGTTTGACCCTACATGATCAGACCAGACCATTCACACCCTGCCACAAGCTGTGAAAAGGGTGTTGGCAAGGCAGATGAGCTGGGAATGTAGAGGATCCTGTTGTTGTTCATGGATGCTCTCAAGTTCCAGATTTGCTAAGCGACAGCCCTATGGACAAGACCTTCCAGGATTTTGGAAGTGAAAGGGGTCAGTTAGTGGAGGTTGGCAAAGTGGCTCAGAAAACCCAGGAGGCTTCCAGAGGGCCATGCCCTAGCATTACTAGCAGGAGCCCTGCAAGCTTTTTCAGCACCCGAGTCAACAGGCAAAGCTCTGCCCCTCAACACATGGGCAAGGAGATGCCCATCGCCAGATGAGGAGTCGAAGAAGCGGCCACCCTAAAGCTCTCTCTCCTTTCCTCTTCACTGTCGGCCTGTCATTGTGCCAAGTGGCATTTGTGTTTTAGTGACCCTACGAATTAGGGACTGTCTGGCTCCTCCACAAAGCTCAACTGATGGGTTTTAGAAGCAACTAAACAGAGCAGAGCAGTGAGGGCCTTCCTGGACACAACAGTGGAACTGCGAGGCAGAGGCAGTGGATTCACCACCCCCAGTGTGCCATCGCCAAAGGCGACCACACTGCCAGAGCTAATGGCAGGGCCAGCCTTGTGTATCAGGTGAAAATAGGGAATCATCATTTGCTCTATTTTTGGGCTTGAGAAGGAGAAACTATGTATTTTTTCTGCTCACCTGCCAAAGAGAGAGATACTTCAGGTTGGCCTCATAGACACTTTCCAGATGTGTGAGTTTTTAATTGTTAAAAATTTCCTTCCTTCCTTCCTTCCTTCCTTTGGCACCAATAATGAAAACTGCTCCCAACTAGGATAGCAGTTGTTTTGGTTCATGGATGTGTAAGAATCTGAAACATTTGGTGAGGTGTGTTGACCGCGGAGGATCATGGGTGACCAGGGCTCAGCAGATGAAGCTTTCACGTTTCTCTGTCCTTAGATCACCCACCCCTGCGGCGCTTCTCTGAGCCAAACAATCTCCTACAGCCCAAGCCTTCAATGGTGAGTGGTTTTTTGTTTTTGTTTTGTTTTTTACTATCTGCCTGGTTTGTAAGGTTGCAGAAAGTAAGAATTTCATGCCCTTGCCCAGTATCCAGAATGTAAATAAAAACCATGTCAACCTGATAAGGGGATTGTTTTACTCTTCACAAGAATTCATTTTTTAAAAATATTTTCTATGTATTTATTTGTTTGTTTTAATGTTTTTTACCCTGGCTTTCTTCTTAAAAAGATGTAGAGGCAGCTAATTTCTGTCAGATTTTTTTAAAAATGACCTCTTCTAGGCAGTCTGTGCATGCTCAGATACACATTTCGTGTAGGTCCTTTTTTACAATTGTAAAGCAGGACTTCTGAAGCTGCAGGGGTAAGAAGGAACCGAGAGAGAGAGAGAGAGAGAGAGAGAGAGAGAGAGCTGTAAAGCAGGATTTCTGAAGCTGCAGGGGTAAGAAGGAACTGAGAGAGAGAGAGAGAGAGAGAGAGAGAGAGGTGGCATCGGTGCCTTTGTAAAATTCCCTAAATATAGCTGGATGGTTGCACAAGAAAAGCACTTGCCCGGAAGCACCCCTTAAATGTTTACCAGGAAAGGAGAAATGTACGTAAAAGGAAGTATTCAACTCCGTGCCTGTTCAGCCAATGTATGTCATGTGATGGATGTTAAACATTAATCAACACGCCCTCATCTCTTTATCTTCTGAAGTTCCAGCTGAAATGCGGAGCAAATGAAGACAACCAGGAAGAGCCGTTCAACTTCCAGGCGCTTGAGAGAGGTCAGAGAAAAGAGGCAACGAAGGGCTGACAGTTTTGCCAAGGGAAGGGGCCGGTGTGAATGAAGAGGCATCGTTTGCACAGCCAACACCCGGCTGAACAAAAATGTGCAGCCATTTCCACCTTCTGGTTAGAGAACAGCTGTAGCTGAAGAACGCTGTACGAGAATGGGATGTCTTTGTGTTTTCCCCCTGCATGGGGCCAGAAACACCTGCGCCAGGGTGGACCTCAAGGTATAAGAGGGAGGCATTCTTTCAGAAATCCAAGGCTTCAAGAAGTGCAAAAAACCCCCAAAGTCTACAGAAAGCAAATCCTTTCGGATGGAGCTCCCTGTCCTAAAACCCCACTGAATCCTTTCCTTTGCTAGCAGGTACAGGCGGCTCTATTGACTGCTGGGGTTATGCAGAATGGAACGGAGCGCCCCGGAGAGGGACAGGGTGGCCAGGTAGCTGGCCGGCTGGAAGGAAGGCGCCCTGAATAGGACTGAACTCCACCCTGTGGTCTTGCGTCTCAGACGGCTCTCATTCTGGACTCTTGCGTTGCATTTAAAGGGTTCCCTTTAAAGCACAGCCTGTCCAGATGCAGTTTGGTGGAAGGGCCCTGTCCTCGTTGTAGCTTCTAACGTGCCCTTTTTATTCCGTCGCTGTGCTGTAGAACAAGGCGCCCTGCTTCGTGTGTTTTACATTCTTCTCTTTACAGCTCTGAAAAAGGGATTGGCAAAGGTCTCCCAGCCGCCACCTCTTCCGCTCGCAGCCCGCAGGGTGTCCCTGCCAGTCATACCAGCCTCCGGATCCCAAGCAAAAGCTCCCATAAGCAGAGGTGTGTAGAGTCGTAGCTACTGGGATTCTTCTGCCCCCCCCCACGGCTGCCCCCATTTGGCTAGAGAGGGAGGCAAAATATTCTCCTCCGCCCGGGACCCTGGGGATCTGCAGCCGGGCATGTACGATCATGACAAGATGAAATGAACTGATAGTCTAATTGGGATAGACTTAGGGTGTGACTACACAGCATGAAAATTATGTTGTGAAGTGGCACCTTGGATTGGCATTCGCAGACCACACAGGAGTCAGCAGAGAGAGCAGAGGAAATTGCCAGTCTGAACATGTTCACACCTTGTTAAGGTGGCTATAATGTGGTCATCTAGATTTGCAGAAAGCCCAGCAACCACAGAGCTACCTTAACAAGCTGCAAACAAGGACTGGTGGCTGATTTCCTCCTTATTTACGCACACACTTTGGTCTCTAGCTGGTCTAATACACCAGCACTGGCACCGAGGATTCAGACAAACAAATACAAACCAACAACAATTTGGAAACAAAGAGTGCTTGGCTGAGGGGAACTGATGACGCTCCTTTGCTTCCTCTCTCAGCACCTTAAACCTAGGAAGCTGGGAGAGCCACCTTCTGGTCCCTCGTTGCATCGGCTCAAGCAATCACAACGCCTAAGCAGATGCAAAATGATTTGGTTCTTTTTTTTAAAAAAGGAGAAGTCCCAGTGGCAGAGGGAAAGAGTATGGATCGGGTGGGGGGAAAGCTCCAGGATGTTCTGTATTGACTCATATGTTATGCAATCAATGGAAAATAATATGAATCAGACCGTCCCAAACGAAAAACAATTCCCACATTATTTGTTAATGTTGTCGCACTCTAAGAGTGCATCCTGATACTCTTTGCCTGCCCAGTACCCCTCTCTTCCTCCTTTTCCCATCACGTTTGGCTGCCTTGGGAACACATATTGCTCTTTGGCTGTTCGTTCTTGTGTGTTTTGGTTTGTTGGGTTTTTTTAAAATATCTTTTTGCAGATCCTTTCCTGGCTCTGAAAGATGACAAAGCAGCTAAGATCCCACCGAGCACAAAGGAAGAGTCCCACGGAGAGCCCATCTATTTGGAATGTGAGCCCAGCACAGGTAAGGCCACGATCTTGTATCCTCTGCTGCACAACAATGATAGGCAAGGGCCATAGAGGACGGGTGTCCCTTACGCCTTTCATGGAGAATGTCCCAGGTCTGATCCCTGTAATGAAAAGGGCCCAAGAGCAGGAGGACACCAGAAAGACCTCTCTGCCTGCACTCCTGGCTGAGCTGTTGCCACTGAGGATGGGCAACCGAGGTGTGGAGATGTATGGTTTTGAACGATGAGCTCCAGAATTCCCAGGCAGGCTTTCGGAGCCATCATTTGGAAGCTCAACTCTGCTACACACCTGGGTTAAATAATCTTGGGACTGATGGAGGAATGATCTGACAAATAGACCAATTTCTTCTCCATGGCACAAGGATTTATTATAACCCATTGGCGGGAAACAGAGTGACCCGAGAGAGAGAGAGAGATGTCAATCTTTTCTTAAGACTGATCCTTCTCTTGTCTTGCTTTCCCCCAGTTCCAGCGTCTGCACCCTCCAGAGGTCTTCCTTGTTCACCTCCAGCTTCTTCTTTGAAGCCACCCAAGTAAGTGAGTTTCCACCCCTCCCAAGAAGCAATACAGGGAAGGGACCTCTCGCTATCTAGATATATTTCAAAACAAGCAGTTTGGGGGAATCTAACACCATGGTTCCAGCTTTGTGGATCCAGATTCCATGAGGCCTTCTAGATCTGCCCTGATCCCAGAATGACTGCCGTGTGAAATTCTTTTCTGGGAAGGGCAAAGATTTCCTTAGGTGCATTTCTCACCTTGATGCTAGAAGGGGTCAGACGTGCAACAGGTTGTTGGTAAGCAAAGTATTACTTTAGCATCACTCTTTCAGACATGTGTGTCTGTAGCTCGGAAACATTAAATTTGGTAGACTACAAATCCCAGAATCCCCCAGGCAACATGGCCATGACGACCAGGAGATTCTTGGGGAGGGCTGTACTAGAAACATAACTTTCCCCAGTTCTAATCCTGTTCCGGTGAGAGTCAGCAGGGTGGAATCTGGGAAGCTGAGCAGAGCGGCAGGACCCACAGACAGCTCTGAGCAGAGCTGGTTAAAAAGGAGGCAGTGGGAGAGGGTGTCTGCACTCCAAGCTTTGCCCCTTCAGATGATCACTTCCATCACGGCTTAAAGGAGCCACGGCCAGCATTTCACAGGTGAGTGCTGGAGCTCAAAGCTCCCAAATGGCTACTCTGAGCGAGGAAAGAGAGGCCACCATCCAGGAGATCCCAAGTGTGGTGCTCCCCCATGCTTGAAATCCCGGAAAGCCACAGGATGGAGACAATGATTCAACCCACTCCACATCACCATGGGAGTGTCAGTCTTCTGCAACCATGGCTGGCCAACTCAACAAGGCTTTTACTAAGCTGGTGGTCCTTTCTCACCTACGGAAGATGCTCAGGCAGTCCAAGATCCTCTTCTTTGTGGTTCACATGGGACTTTTTAGATCCGAACCCTTTGCCATGCGGACGGCACTTTACTCTGATCTGACTCCCCCCCCTCCCCTTTCTCTGCACTGTTAGGTCAAAGATCCTGCCACCTGGAGCCCAACTGGTGAGTGGAAAACATAAGACAGCATGGGGTTGGGGGTGGGACCAATGACTATAATGGAGACCTATGGGGGGTGTTGGGCATTAATTTATATAATTCATGTAATCTTCTCATGTTATCCTGCACTTTCACTTTAACAAGAGAAAAAGACAAAGGAGCTCCAGGGGGCAAACAAATATCACTAAAGCCACCCAGAATAATAAAATAATTAAAAACAGCGCAGTGAGCATCAAAGGAGAGATTTTAAAAGCCAGATTGACTTAATTTTATTTCATGGACTTCAGTGCCTTATGTTTTACAACGAAGAGATTCTCACTAGGTTGTGTAATGGAGTGGTTTTGAAGATGATGATGATGATGCCAGTCCCAGTGCTCAGGCGGAACAGCACAACAAGATTTTGGCCAAGGACACCAGAAAGTCCAAGATGTGCTCATTAAACCCATTGAGATGTCCAATTCACCTCGGGAAAAGAGAATAAGCTATTTGTATAGTTACCCCTATTGTATGGTTCCTTGGACGTTTGGTTAAGATCAGTTGTACGACATCTAATGCCTAAATGGGTTAATACACTAATAAGAATCATGAGCAGAGTCTTGACTGCAGTCTTGCAGTTTAACCACGGTTGCACGAGGCTATCTGTGGGGACGGGTGTGATGCACAACCATCCCAGACTGGTGATGGTAGTCTCCCCTTTGCCCCTCAGATTTGTAAGATCACTTTGAGTAATTAGCTTTCAGAAAATGTTCAAGTAAATAACGAAGGAAACAGTTGCATTTTGAGAGCACTCATTAATCAGTTCTTAAAGCATTCCTTTCTCTTGGACCATTTTGTTAGTGTGAGTCACTCTTGCATCGCTCCCTCGTTCTGTGTGGACACCCAGCATGGAGGCCAGATGTCCTTCTACGGTCATCCCGGCTCTTGTACTGACATCTGAGAAGGGACCTCAGTGGCAGATAAGGTCCACTGGGGCTGAGGATGGGGGTCCATCGTGGTGTTGGAATGGAGGTTTGCTGGTTGGCTCTCCCATTGCCTCTTTGCAAGGTCTAAGTACACTTTGCGCGTGCTGCTGGTTGAGGGTTAGTTGAACGGCACCTCATCCACCCAAACAATAAGACCAGCCCTGCTGGACCGATAGGTTGGGTATTGAGTGATGATGAATGTAACCATCCCTTTGGTCCATGTGGGGGGGGGGGGAATGTGCTTTTCTGATTCATTGTGTCGTCAATGGCCCCTTCATCCCGGTTATATCCCTCCAGGATTCTGACATGGAAAACAAGCCTTGGTATGCAGGCAACTGTGACCGGCATACAGCAGAGGCTACTCTTCTCCAGTTTAATAAGGTAGGCACATTTGTCTTTCGGCTGGCTGGATAGCTCAGTGGTTTTGATGTCTGGCTGTGGGGTCAGAGGTTGGGAGTTCGATTCCCCCACTGGTGCCTCCTGGAAGAAGAGCCAGCCTGGGTAGCCTTGGGCAAGCTGCACAGTCCCAGGGCTCCCCCTAGAGGAAGGGAATGGGAAAGCACTTCTGAGTCTTCTCTCCCTGGAAAAGGTCACCATAAGCCCGAATTTACTTGATGGCATGTGATCATTTTTCTTTGCCCTCCAACCGCTTTGTTTTACAGCCATAAATAAAACATCTGCTGTTCCAGGAAGATGTTAGATACCTTTTTGCATTTTGGAGCCACCCTGCCAACCCACCTGGCAGGCTGCCGTCAGACCAAGTGGCCTGGCGACTGAATTGGCACTCGTCTGGCTTGCCCATTGACATGAGATTCAAAGGTGCTGCACCACGAGAAAAGAAAGCAGCCAGCTTGGGAAGACAGATGTAAAGGATGATAGAGATGGAGACAGGACCTTGACCCTGCATAGTTACCAAATCCTGTGTACATTTCTGGTCACTGTACAGTAGGACCCCACGGTCTGCAGGATCAGTATCTGCTGGTTCACTTATCTGCTGGCTGAAAATATCAAATAAAACCCCCCAGAAATACTTGGTGGTGGCGCTGCGGGCTAAATCACAGAAGACTCTGTGCTGCAGGGTCAGAAGATCCGGCAGTCGTAAGATCGAATCCACGCGACGGAGTGAGCTCCCTTCGCTTGTCCCAGCTCCCGCCAACCTAGCGGTTCGAAAGCATGTAAATAGGTACCACCTTGGTGGGAAGGTAACAGCGTTCCGTGTCTAAGTCGCACTGGCCATGTGACCACGGAAGATTGTCTTCGAACAAACGCTGGCTCTATGGCTTGAAGAGCGGGATGAGCGCCGCCCCCTAGAGTCGGACACGACTGGACAAAAAAAATTGTCAAGGGGAACCTTTACCTTTACCTTTACCTTTACCTTTTTTCACTGTATTTCCAAGGTATATTTATCAGAACTGGCCACTAGGGGGAGCCAGAGATTATGCCTTCAATACAGGTTTTACCTGAGACTCCTTAGTTTGGGAAAAAAGGCCAGGGGAAAAGACATGGTTATTGTTGTTAGCTGCCACCCAGCCACTTCCAACTTACTGCAACCCCTGTGAATTAATGACTTCCCAAAGGGCTTGTCTTTAAATTGTCAGGCTCTTGTTTTGCAAACACGAGGGCTAGATTCCAACTCAAATGGCTTTTAAAAAGGAAGCAAATTCATGGAGGATAAAGCTCTCAAGAGACTGGATGGCCGTGTAATCTTCAGTATCAGAGGAGGATTGCCCTTGAATAGCTGTCGCTGGGGGACCTTGAAATGGAGGGGGCTGCAGCGCTTGGTGTTCTACCTGCAGGCATTCCAGAAACACCTCGATGGCCATGGTGGGAAATCTGGAACCACCAAAGCGTATAAGTTTGAGCTGGCCCTGTGAACAATTCTGAGGGATGGAAGCTACCTAGATGGTCCATAGTCTGGAAATGCCCCCCCCCCCTTTCACATAAGCCTTCCTCCTCTCTTTGTGGCAGGATAGCGCTTACTTGGTGAGGCGAAGCTCACGCCACGGCTGGAACCAACCGTTCACGCTGGCCGTGTTTTACAAGAATCACGTCTACAACATCCCCATCCGCTATCTGGAGGGCACCTCTCAGTACATGCTGGGCAAGGACGGCAAGACTCACGAGGAGGTGGGAAGGGGACCTTGTGTGCTTTCTGCTAAAAAAATATGTTATGCCATTTAAACAAACATATGCATGGAGAGTAACTGACTTTTTCTCCATCCTCTTTTCTTTCCTAGCTGTTCAACAGTATCCCCAGCATCATCCAGAACTACACAGAGCGTCCCCTGGTATTGATCGATGGCAACACTTCTGCCAAGGAGCAAACCTGTTTGTTGTTTCCAGTGAAGCCATGACTTGGGTTCATGGCTATCCAGACAGCAGACAGCTGTGCTTGGGGGGGGAGGGGAATGAACGTCACCCCTGGACTGCTTCGGGCTATCCAGAGAGCAGCCAGCTGTGCTTGGGGGGGAATGAACGTCACCCCTGGACTGCTTCATTGTTTTGTCTGGACTGATGCACAGGGCCCTAAAATTGTGCTGAAAGTTCTTTATGTGCAATTCTTGCTATCCTTCCAGAGGAACATGTCAGACTCATGGCCACAATCCTGTTAATTAGTGCAGGAAGTTACACTAGAATAGGTCCATTGCATCAGTAGAGATTTGATGAGTCAACTCCTCCATAAGTTTCATTGATTCAAATGGGCCTACTCTAGTTGCAGCTGACTATACTAAAGTAAGGCCCGTGGGAATGAGTTGACAGCACATAATAGCAACAGCCATAGAAAAAGGCTAGTAGTTATCTGCAGTCATCACCGCACGATGTGTTTCTGAACACACGGCAACCAATAAATTCTCGACGGTCTGAATTTGTAAGAATTCCTCATGGCACGAGATGATGATTCTGTCTTCTTTGAAATTTTGCATGCTTAGATTACGAAGTTTATAGGCAGACTGAGAATCCGAAAGAGTGATTCAACTAACACCAACTGGCCACTCGGTGGAGACATGAAGACAGGGATCAGAACAGGCAAGAAACACACAAAAAATGAAATTCCTCCCAGTCTCTTCTCAGGCAGACACGGTCAGCAGGACTGGGGAACTCCAGCCCAAACTGAGCTTTCGGCTAGCCATAAGGGTTGTTTTGAAGCGACCACGTACACAACCTTGGAAGTTAAAGACCATTTGTTTGAGCAGAAGTTTGCCCAATGCACATCTGAAAAAAAGTCATCGAGTTCGCCGCAAGGACACGTTTAACATGGTGCAGCATTCAAAGCTTCGGAGCCAGCATCATAATTAGGCCAAAGCAATCAGGGGCTTCGAGATAAGCTGCTGAAACTTAGTGATTGCAAAACTTTGCTGCTGGCAAGGTGTGTTCCTTCGCCCATCGGTATGTCTTGCTAGAAATAGGCATCATTCCATACCCTGGCATCCGCCCACGCTAGCTGTTCCTCCCTGAGCAGAAGGAAGGGCAAAGCTGGTCGGCTGGGAGCCAAATGAACAGGGCCATCATCCCCCGCTCAGCCCCAAATGTTCTCTCTTTCTCCCACCTTTCTACGTGTCCCCCAATCTCACGTTGCTCAAGCTTAACCTAAAAGTCCAGGGGTCCAGGGTGCCAAAACTGCTATGGCCAGGATGGCTTGGGGATTCTGGGAGTTATAATTTAGCCCCACATATTTTAGGATGCGGAACAGCAGGAGTGCACCTGTAATTGCAGGGTGAGGGTGACAACATAAGCAACCTAAAGGATAAGATGTTCAGGGACAGCAAAGTGTAGAACTGAAGAGTGAACCCCAGAAATCTTGGCCAAGCTGCAAAGGACTGTGGATGAGGGTGGGGGTAGCATACTCTCAGATCTGAACTTCTGGACAGCTCAGTAGTTTAGGTATCTGGCCAAGGAGCTAAAGGTTGGGAGTTCAATTCCCCACCGGGCCTCCCTGATGGACTGGACTTGATGATCTACAGAATCCCTTCTAGCTCTGCCGTTCAAAGGTGGTTATTATTTTGTGGAGTTCAATGTAGCCAGTGTGAACTAAACTTCTGCAAAAACAGACAACAACAAAGATAATCACTGCCTTGGGAAATTATTAAATGGCTGGAGTTAAAATCCAGGTTAGCCCTACCACTGGGCAAAGTGAACAAGCCACCTCAGATGGGAAACGCGGAGAGGCAAGTGAGTGGTAGCAAGATGCTGGGAGACAAGCCCTCTGTGAACTGCATGGGCTGCCCTGAGATGGGATGGAAGAGGCCATCCCAACATCCATGTTAAAGAGGCAACGGCTGACACAAGCCATTTTTGCGGCAAGCGATTTGGGTGAATGCTGGTGGAAACACAGTCGGCAGAGCCCACCATCTGCAAAGAGAGAGGGGGGAACTCCGTGCTCAGGTGCATGCGCACTTCAATGTGCCTGTAAAATACATTTTCTCAGATCAAAATCCACCCACTCCCAACCTCATTGTCCCGAGATCTAACTTCTAAGGAGCCTGGTGATGGGACTCAATAGCTTTCCTCTGATCTGTACCGAAGGTTTGGGAGAGAAGCAGGGTCTCTTCTCGTTTTGTGCGGGCTGCAAAAAGGGACCATCACAAGCGTGTGGAGAAGTTTCTTTTGTTGCTCACGTTAAATCCTGTTGCTCCTTACCTGTTTGGAAAAGAAGCAGGGGAAATAACGCCTGCGTGGTAGGGATCACAGGGGCAAACAGGCTGTTATTTTTGGCGAGGTAGAATGTCTAATTCTCAGTGCCTGGAAGTGAAAAAGGAGGAGATTTTTCTCGTACATGTGTGCACACTGAAAAAGACGTATTAGACCAAAAAAAGCCACTTTGATGCCAGGCATGGAGTGCCAGACGACGGCTCGGGGGAAGCTGGGTTCCGATCTCCACTTAGTAATGGGAATTCACAGAGTGGTGCCACTGGTCAGCCAGCCTTTAAAGATCTTGCATAGGTGAAAAGCCCATTAGGGTCACCATAGGTTGGAAATGGCCTGAGGACCCGTCATCTTTAATAGAGGACTTCCCAAATGTTCCAAGCCAGGGACAAATGTAAGTAAATCAGAGATAGGTCTAATTATGATTTGATTTATTGGGTTTCTTATTTATTGACCAATCTTAGCACTTTTCCCACATTGGGCATTAAAAAAAGATCGACCTCTGTTCCAGGGAACACCAAGTATGACTTCCTTTCCCTTTCTCTGTGGACACGTGATCATTTATGTGGCTGCAGTTTGGATAATAATAGCACGGTCAGTTTGATATCTCTTCCACAGCCTATCCCACAGATTTCTGAGATTGACTTGACTTACTGTAATTAATCTGATGCAGCTGAAAGCATTGCAGTAGAGGTTTCTCTAGCAAGGAATTCTAAATACACATCACCCAGGTATACTTGTCAAGAGCCTTGACAGCTGGAGTGGAGCACCTGACTGATACACCTATGTAGCGCAGATGCAATGGAATTAAGATTCACTTCCTTATTTCATGCACAAAATGAAGTTAAACTGGAAGATAAAATTTGTTTAAGCCGTTTGTCCTCTTGGGTGAAATCACAGGCTAATAGGATGGCCAGGTATTTATTTATTTCTGTTCTTTCTCTCTCTTTTTAATTATTATTGCAAGATGATGGGAAATACATTATGACTGATGGTGCCCTTTTGACAGAAAGGAAATATTTTCTTCACGGTGTCCTCTTTTGGTGGGGTGCTTGTCTTCTAGGAAAAGGGATACGTATGTTTTTGTCGCTTGTGTTTTTCCTTCCTCATGATTGTATGTGACAACAGCCCCGGTTGCTAGTCAATGAGATTTTTTCACCTGTTCAAAATGACAGGAGGGTTTTTATGGGCTTTTGAGGGGTGTAAGGGGAGTAGGAGGGATTATTTATTTATTAAATTTTTTTTTACCCCACCTTTCTCCTTGAAAAGGACCCGAGGTGGCATACAACAATGAATATTTAAAGTTGAAAATGATTAGTATACAATGGTGGTTAATGTCGTTCAAAGACGATATTTAAAACAACGAACAATGAATAAGGAGGCATCTTACATAAATTTACAGGCAATATTAAGGCAAAGATCAATAAGCATATAATATACTGTATATATATTTAAAAAGTCACTCTGAGAAATGGAAAACTTGAACATGGAAAACACAAGTAGTACTAAAAATCCACCCAAAGCAGCAAATGCATAACAATCTGGTTACTGAGGGAAGGCTTCCGGGAAGAGAATGGTCTTTGCCTGCCTGCCTGGGGAAGGGCAGCCAGGATGGGGCCAGCCTGGAGCCTCCTTAAAAATATTTGCATATCCCTGTGAAAAATCGAGAGATGGAAGACCGCCACTGAAAGAGAACACAGTCTGTGTCACTGTGACAGTTTGCTCTCCGTGACCGCTTCTTGCCAACCCAAACAAACTCCCCAGATGGGATCTGATGTGGCACCTCTGCTGTTGCCTGAGCAACGGCTACCATCAACCTGCAGAACAAGGAAGATGAAGTTGCAGCTAAGTGTGCGTGTCTGTGTGTGTTGAGGACAGAGAATGAGTTAGGAAAGAGAAAGACCAGATGCTCTTTGGAGACTGGTACACCGTTGGCGGACCACCCAGTGGTCCGAAAAAGCTTACATGGACTTCCACACATATGACAGGGCATACTGGTAAAAAAGTCTTTTCCCACTGCATCATCTCTGAGAAGGAGGATGATCCTCCTTTTTCTAGCCAGCTATGAAGAATAGGAGTGAGCCTGGGTGGCAAAGATGGTCACTCTTCTTAGACAGGAAGAAAACGGATGTATGAGGAAGTGAAAAAAAGAGAGGTAAAGTAACCCCCCCCTTTTTTTTTGCACAAGACATGAATCAGTCACTGACATCCAGTGCAAAAGTCAGCTTTCGGATAACCCTGAGCATATATTTAAATACTAATGTATTGGTATTTTAATGCTATTCTTCTAGTCTTCATGGCGTCAGAGGGGAAAGTGCTGGTCTCGAAAAGACAAAAAAAGCCCTCTACAGGCAGGCAATGAATGTCTTTAGGAGAATGCAATCACATGCAAGCTTTCTAATTTCCCAGAGCCTCTTCCTCAGGGTGGTAATGACTGGAAGGGGAGAGAAGGGAGAGAGATGGAAATCCAAAAAGAAGCACGGATGCGAACAGGATTTAGAGAATGGAACAAGTTACCTCTTTGGCAAATTCCTGGAACCCACAGGAGGATGTGGCCACTCACCATCTCAGCTGGAAGATTCTGGAAGGTCGCTCTTTAAAAAAAGGGAACTTTTTCCAAGCTTTTAGCCGGTTACAATCCCAGAATCACTTGGAACCCACAGGAGGACATGGCCACTCACCATCTCAGCTGGAAGATACTGGAAGGTCGCTCTTTTAAAAAGGGAACTTTTCCCAAGCTTTTAGCTGGTTACAATCCCAGAATCACAACACAGTAGCCCCCCCCCCCCCGCGAATCACAACGTTCCCTGGAAGCAATGTAAGATCCTCATACAATGGGCCCTTTTCAATGGGTTCACCAGACCACGGCCAGATGCCTTAAAACAGCAGCGAGGTTTTGCTGGCCTAGCAGATTCTCCCTTCCACAGGATTGTGCACCCTACTCTTGAGGAGCCCCAGCTCCCCTTCCCTCCAGGCTAGGTCCATGATGGACAGTATGTGTGTGTGTGTGTGGGGGGGAGGCTTTGCAGTGGTGAGCAGCGACTCAGCAAAAAAGCAGGTTAAGCCAAGCGTGGGAGTGGGAGGGGGCAGTGGAGGAGTTCTCAGGAACTGATGACTCAGAGAAGGCTCTTTGCCCAAGGTCAAGCTCCATTGCAAGCTCCCAGCATGTGATTTCTGTCCATTCTTCCTCCTCTTTGCGCAGAGGACAGCATT